TAATTATAGCATTCCCCTACCCTTCATGGGCAAAGAACCATTCTCTCATTTTATTGAGACACCTCCTTAAAACTCAGTTCCTCCCTCCAGACGCAGTCCTTCATAGCCATGAATCCTGTCTCCAGTTGCTTGCTCTCTGCAGGCAAAGGTACTCTCTCTGCCCAGAAAATAATACCATATGTTATTTGCAGAAGCGTGAGGAGTTAGGAGAACTGCACTCACCCGTGCCTGGTTTATGGACCCCATTAATTTTTAGAGAGACTGATTCAATAGAAAGCCAAGTTGGCTACTCCAGCTTGGCCAAGCAGCCTGCTGCAGCACATCACCATCACTGCTGGGCCATAGACCTCTGGGGTCTGGGCAGCATTGTTTCATGGTCAGGATCTGGGCAAGAGATGACTTCTTTGTGCTCTTCTCTTATTTCCCTGGGAAGGAGAGAAGCATGCTAATTGAGTGAAATAGCCACAGTGACTCCCCAAATGCCCGTGGGTTCCCTTGTGCTGTTGAGTACAATCTTTGCAGTTACTGCCTTGACAGAAGCTTGCAGAGCAGAGTGCAGCGACGTGCACCCCACAGGTCAGCAGTGAGGCACAGGGAGGTGCCTTTCAGCATCTTACCTGCCTCAGGCTAAGGTCAGCTCTGCCAGCTCTCCAACAGGCACCCTCCTGGGCTTCTCCTGCATGTTGGCTGCAGAGTTGCATCTCTGCCTGCAGACACCTTCTGTTTCATCTTGGATGTGACATTCTCATGACAGGGCCCAGCAATGTCATCAGCCCAAAATCTTCTGAAGAGGTGCCCAGGTTTGCCTGTTGGACAGTCTTTTTAGTTTGCTTTGTTTATTTTGCTTCTGTGATCACCAAAGTAACCAAATAGGTTGCTGGATGTTCAGCTCCTCCAAGATTATCATCAGATGAAATTAAACGGAATAAAGTAAAGCGTATAAAAGAAGGAGAATTCATCGGAGACTATCACAATGACCTGAAAGAAAATACAGAAAATGAGCCTTGTTTAATGATTGTTTATGGTGGAAGCCCAAATTTTAATCAATTAACATATGAGCCCATTACTTGAAAGATGCGTTGGGCCTGTGAGGCAGCATCCAGTGTTTCTTCCTTTCTCAGGGGAGCTGCAGGGTATCAGCTGACATTCCGGAGGCTCTCTTTCCTCATAGATGCTTTTAAAGCTGCGTTTCTGACTGCAGAAGGCATAGTTAAACCTTACACATGTATTTTGCGTATGCCCTTGGGTACAGTTGCATCCTGTGACCCCCCCTAGGAGACCTCACTGACCTTCTCACAGTGTCTTGTTTGAGGAACGCTCAGTCAGCCTTTCCATTGCCAAACTTTCTTCAGCGCTACACTTAAAACACAGAAACCAAATAGATTTACTGATATAACTATAATCAGAAGTCATAGCCTGGATGATAAAATGACCGAATTATCAAATTACTTAAAATTAGAGCCATACTCAAGTGCCTCAGGGAGTGGGAAGCTGCAGGCAGGCAGCCAGCCCACCAGCCAGTACCAGCACCGGGTGCTAGCAAGGAGCAGAACAGGATTTCTGGGTATGGCAAGTGTTAGGGTGAGGCTCTCTTTGGGGTAGGGGTTTTCTCTGTCCCACAAGCACTGAAGACTTAATGTACTCCCTGCGACCAAGCAGGGATGTCACATTTTGGTTCTGCTTGTTTAATAGGAGACAGTCCCACTTCTGCATTTTATAATGCTTCAAGAAGTGAAGGCACCTTTACCTATGGCAACAGGATTTCATTCAATCAGATGCAATAAGTGCTGTTTATTTGGTATTTATTCCATCAGTGGCGGATCCCACCTAAGGCTCAGTTGTGCTCTGTGGCCACGTGTGTCGGCGCACACACGTTTGGAGTACATGCCCCACCTCTTTCCCTGCAGTTTGCTCTTCTGGAATTTGGGGGCGTGGTTGAAATTGCAGACTGCTTGTTCCTCCAGTTTGAAAAAATGTGTTTGAACACTGTCATTTCCCCTGATAAGAGGAGCACTATAAATTAAAAAGAGCCAGCAACGCAGGCACATTAATCTTCCTGATGCAATCCTACCTTTAGCATTTCCTGGCATATATTTGATGTTGACTTAATTGTGCAGCCTTGAAGTAGGATTTGAGTATATAAGTACAAAAGTAGTAATAAACTGCAGATACAAGCTAGAGGTTGCCCACTGAAAACTGTGCAAGGGGTGGACGATGCCTGTTGGACAATGCAAGGAGATCCTTGCAGCAAGGGGTGACAAGTTTGCTGTAGTGTTTTTTCGCTGTCCATTTAGCCCTGAAAAATCAAGCTTCACACAGGATCCTATAAGGCTTGGGCATATGGTGTCATCCTGAGGTTGTCCCTTCCTGCTCTCCCTCGCACACAAATGATCTGACATCAGCACAAGCACAAGTTCATGGTGCTCGTGCGGTGCTTGGAAAGAAAGGCCGGTCTCACAGTTAAGATTTTACAATGGAGTTCAGAAGAATCTTGCTTTTCTTCTCACTTTTACTGAAAGAGGTCAGGAAAGCAATTTTGGCTCTTTGTGTTTTGGAAGGCATCAAAAGATGCAAATAAATGCCTGGTGGGCTCTGAAACGGTCTTTGAAATCAGTGGGAGATAGGTCTCTGAGATTTCAAAAATCCCACACAAAGTGTTTGCATGCATCTTTAAGCATCTAAACACCTTTAAAAATATGTCTCTAAGGTGTCTAACTCTGAGCATGGGTTCCTGCGTCCCCTAGGCATTTTTGAAATTGCATCCAAAGTTGCTTAGATTTCCCCTAAAGAGCACCCTTTTGTTGTAATTTCCTCGTTAACTTAATTTTCTCTTGACTTGAAACATAATATATATTAACCTTCACTCATTTTTTGCAGCAAAATGTAGAGAAGTGAAGCTGTTTCTGAGCTGTTTTATTATACAAAAAAAAGGAGCATATGGCTGATTGTGTCCCATCTGAAATGCAAATGGTGGAGCTACGTGGAAAGAATTACTATTACTTGAGCAGTAAATGTTTCCTAATGAAGTGAGTTTGACTAAGGTGGGAAGCTGGAAATGGCTGCAGGAAGAAATGACGATGGTTAATATTTCAGTGGAGCAGAACATTCATATTCTGCTGATAAGGAGGTTCTTAGGAAATGCACTAGAATTTTTTTCTTATATTCTGTATGTTTATCAGTGTGGGGAAATTGTTACACACAGGGAGCTAGACTCTTTTCTTCTAGTTACGAAATCATGTAATTTAATTTATAACCACAGCTTTTCACTGTTGACCTCCTTCTGAGCTGAAGTTTCCTGTATTTTGTGAACATTTGGGGTAAATAGACCTACCCAATGTAAAAGAAAAGTCTAAAAGAAGACTCTGATGTTCATCACCCTGGGCACATTTGTTGAGGCCAGAGGCCAAGAGGGTGCAGAAGGAATCTGACCCACAGTCTCTAATTTCCTTCTTCCTCTTTTCACCAAAATTTTTTTCTCATGTATATCCCTCTGCACTTCTAGTAGTCTAAGGTGTCCAGATGTCTGCTGCAAATGGGAGGTGGTCTGACTTTTAAATACTTTCTTAAATCAAGCAGTGAGGCTAGAGGCTTGACATTTCCATTACTTAACTTTCCAAAGGGAGAGCTGTGGAGTTGGTGCTGTGAGGTTCAGCACAACCAGTGGGCTGGAGATAGAGCATCAATCACATTACTTTGCCTTAATGTCAGAAGGAGCCGGGAAGAGTTTAGATAGCAGCATGTGCACAATTATGTGCTCAGAAGAGCTGAGGCAGCTGCCAGGTTAGACCTCTGGCTTTGTCCCCAAGCAAGATGACATCGGTGTTGCTGAGGCTGAGCTGTCTGTTACAGGGCACAGTCGGGGGACAGGAGATTAGCATGCCATTCCCTTGACAATGCCCGAGGGTGTCTGACATCGCTAATGATAATGAAAAAGGAGAAACCTAGAGAAAAAAGTCTGCAGCCTGCTGTTGATGGAAATAATTAGGTTTCTCCATCTCAGAAGCAGTGGCGAGGCTTGCTGGGATCAGGACATGTCCACATTAGTGTCAGTTCAGATCCAGACCAGACTTCTGAAGTGAATCTCTCTCTGTGCTTTGGTTCACATCTCAGGGCAGCACAGGAGCTCACAAGCTGGGTTGCGGTGCCTCTGGAGATGCCCCTGGGCAATCTGAGGGCAGGGCCACTGCCGCCCTGCCTGCATTTGCCCACCTGTGCTCTTGGACACAGGAGCCTTCACCCCCTACAGAGCATGTCACCAAGTCAGGAGTGGGTGCTGACCTTCCTGGGTAACAACTGGGTAAGGCTTTTTGGTTGCTGAGTTACAAAAATGCTTCCAGAAGTGCTTGTGCACAAAGTCTTTCCTTAAACAGCATGGTTTCAATACTGAGTAGCCTCTGCATCTGGGAGCTGGGGAGATCCCACCAGCCTAAGGCACAGAGAGAGTGCGGTGGCATCAGTGTCGGTCTTGGCAGGGGGTTTTGTCCCAGTAGGGTGAAGTGAGGCTTCAGTATCACATCTTTCATTACTATCAAAGTGCCTGTTACAGGTGCCGGAATTATTTTCAGAATTAAATTATAAATCAGTATAAACTCACGTTTTATGGTATTCTGTGTGGAGGTCAGCACCTGAACAGAGGTGAATTTTGTGGCTCCTTTAATTTGCAGGAGGGCTCAGCAGCTTGATTTATCTGCATATCTGCTTAGGTATTTGGTTTACAAGAGATTACAAGTGGTAATGCTGTGGCACAGTTTTCCATGTATAATACACTTCTTTTATCTTTCCTTTTGCTTGCTTTTAGATGCCTCTTCCCTCTCCCCTCGTCTCATTTCCATTGAGAAATACAAATGGCCTCTTGACAGAACTTTTCATTTTCATTATGTTGATTTGCATTGTTCAGTCAGGATAATACAAACACTTATATTTCTGAGATGTATTTATGATGTTACGAAAAAACTTTCTCATAGTAGCCTCTTCTTTTTTCTCTGTCTTTATCTTTTCAGGTGTGTTTGCAACATTGACTGTTCTCAAACCAACTTCAATCCTCTTTGTGCTTCCGATGGGAAATCTTATGATAATGCATGTCAAATCAAAGAGGCATCATGCCAGAAACAGGAGAAAATTGAAGTCATGTCTTTGGGTCGATGTCAAGGTAACTCTCATAACAAAACTCATTTCAAAGAATGTTTTCAATTTTTGTAAAGGAAAAAAAAAAGGAACCGGGGCTGGCACTTCTTACTCTTCCATTAGGCTCTTGCAGTTTATATTGTAGAGCACAGGCTGCAGGAAGGGGCAGAGCCCACCACAGCACAGACACTAGCGAGGCATGAGGAGTCCTCCACTCCTAACCCTTCCCATGATCTTGACACAGCAGCAGGGGACTCTTCAGCCCTGCACTGGCTTCAACATCAGTCACCAGTACTCTGCCCGGAGCAGCTTGCCCAGAGCCCTGTCTTCCAGGCAGGAGTTGGAGCAGGACAGCAGGAATGCCCCTCAGATACATTTTGCCTCCCAGGATGGATCCTCTGGTGCTCCCCTAACTGGAGCACCATGAAGCAGTTTCAGGAGGCTAAAGATGTGCTCCCAAATACTGTACTTGTCTTGTTTCTCGAGTGACCTGAGCTAGGCCCCAAGATGTTGAAGGTGTCTGGAAGGCAATTTTCCAATAGTATCTCAAGACTTTCTCTGTTTCTCCGTAAATACCACACTTCTCTGTGCACAGCTCTGGGGCTACTACATCACCTGTAACCCTTGAGTTGACTTTAAAAACCCTATTTTGCTCTAAAATAAAAATGAAGAAAATTTGCCTTTAAATAGCTCCCGTAAATAAAGTGTCTGCTGAGGCTCAGAATCTTAACAGCTATTTTCCCCTTAGCTTCTGACCTATAAATCCTCAGTACACCTAGTTACAAGGCCATAGTATACAGATGTATTAAGCACATTCCGGTTTATTCCAATCTCTTTAAAGTTAACCACCCTAAGTGGCAGTTCATTTCAGGGTATGTATTAAAACTCCCCAATTACTTCAAATAGAGCAGAAATGACAACTCCTTCCTCAGACTGATATATTTATCCCAGCTGCAATCTGTTATCACGTATTGTTAGAAGAAAAATCCTGCTGTTTTCACCTGGCAGACCCAGGAGAGCCTTGCAGCCAGCAGCGATGCCATGCACGCAGGCAAGGTTCACTTTGCCTGGGCACTGGCAGCTGGGCTGTGGGCTGTATCAAGTCCAGGCTCCCCAAGCAATTCAACACATTTCTTTTCACGCAGATAACACCACAACAACTACAAAATCAGAAGATGGGCATTATGCAAGGACAGATTATGCAGGTACGGTTCCTATTCCTGTGAGAATCGCAATTTGCAGGATCTGTGTAAGTCTCTTTTCTCCTCCATTTGCTAAGGTGAGGTGTCCTCATCTTCTTGATTTACTTTAAGGAAACACTATCTTTGTGTTACTTTTGCTTTTGCTACAAACTCTCTTTGTGCTTAATAAATGGGTTGCTTCCGTTTTTGTCAATGAACAGATACTCTGGCCATAAAACACCTGACAGTGGGAATAAATATTGTAAACTATTTGCCAGAATTAGCAGACATTATTGAAAATTATTGAATCAGTGCACCTTTTTGTCATGATATACAGGTTTAAGAACGTGAAAATCCAGAGCATAGCACAGCTGTGATTCCATGAAACGTTGCCATAATAGATAATATTACCTGTCAGCCCTTAACTATGAAGTTAATAAAGTTCTTAAAAATGTGGGGGGGTTAAGTGATAAATGTTTTCAATTTATTTAGATGCTACAGTAAAATATGATGGCTGAATAGCCTTATATGGTGCTCGAAATTAAAAGCATGTAAATACTAGTGAGGTTTGGGAGACATTTTTTACACCCTTTCCCCGGGAGGATTGATTTAGAAATTGAACGTGTGTGTGCGCGCGCGTGTGCATGCAAATATTCACAGCTCGCACTGAGAATTAAAGCCTTTGGAGAGATCTTGTGAAAGTGGGTCAGGTGATGCATTCATTGCTGCAGTTTTGTGATATTCCTGTGTTTTTAAAGTATTTGGAGAGAGCAGGTGTGGATCACTGGGTTTAGCTGAGCTGCGTGGCTTAGGCGAGACCCGGGTGGTGTTTTCACAGGTGTTAACATTCGTCGCTGGCAGTGACAGTCCTGTGGGCAGTAGTTACTTCAGCTGGTCATCTCCTGTGTGGGCCCTCTGTGTGTGCTGTCCCTGCAACAATGCGGTACCTGGCCTTAGAAATGATTGTTCTGTTCCTACTTAAAAGCGGTGCATGATGATTAAAACATAGAGCTCTGAATAAATGATGTCTCGGGGAGGCAGAGGAGTGTGAGCTGTTGGGGATGGCTGCAGCACGAAGCAAAGAGGGTAGGAATTGCTATGGGAAGTTAAATACTGGAATGAATTTTGAAAAGATCAAGGATCCACCTGGTCCAGGTATTTCCTACTGCTAAGAAGCCCTTCCATGGGTGAAGAGAGAGACACTCAAAGAGAGAGAAGTCTTCAGTGTCTTTCCTCCAAACTCTTGATTACCCTCACCTTTTTGTGGGAGGTAGCAATCAGTTTTCTTAAATGGCTGTGAGGGCTGAGGTTGTATCCTGTGATAGGCAGATGATAGGGCCAAGTAGGCCAAAATAATTTAAGTTAGAAATAAGGCCGAATAGTATTGTGATGTCAAAATCTTTTTCTTCAGCTGAGGAGAGCACTGGCATGCCCAAGTCGAGATGAAGGCCTGCAGCCCCTTTTCAGTGTTGTGCAGCCTGTCCTATGCTACTGCTGTCTGGTGGATTTACTTTAGGATGGCAGTGACCCACATCACCTAGAGAGGAGACTGCACATTTAAGCATGGAACAACTGAGTTGTAACAATAAGGGAGGAAAGGTAGGTTGAGAATTAGGGAGGAGGAGGAGGAGATCACAGTGATGTCAGGAGAAAGCCAAGTCATGGAGGAAGGGGTGCACAGGAGGCACCTTCAGCTCAAGTGAGCAGGAGGAAGGGAACAGCTCTGGCTTAGGAGAGATGATATTTCAGCCCACGCTCAAGAGGAGGGATGGTGGGTAGAAGAAAATTGATTGCAGCAAAATGTTGTCAGAGGTTGGGAGTCAAGCAGGGAATGCTGGAGGAAAGTGGGTTATTGGGCAGGGAATAGGGCAGAGCTACAGCACAGAGGAGCAGCTCTGTAGTGGGCATGGTCTCCAAGTGCCAAGAGGTTAGAAGAAGTGTGGGAACAGATGGTCCTGTGAGAGATGACAGGGGCCTGTGGAAAGGAGACAGGGCACCTCCCTCCCCTAGAGCTGTGGAAGCGATGGAGGCATCCTGAATCAGCATCAAGTCCAGTTGGTACCTCTTTGGCACAGAAGGACGCCATGATTGCACCTTAGAAAGCAGCATCTCGAGGCTTCTGCTATGGCTCAGGCCCCAGTGGGCTTCTCAAGGGTGGTGACTGTATCCCCTGGGTGGGTCTCATCAGGTACCATCCATTGATTTAAAGTGAACCATCGCCTGCACCAGCTGATGGTTTTTTTGTGTGCACCTATTAGTCTTGCTTAGATTTTTCATTTTTACATACAGTGACAGCATGTAGGGTGCAAATTGCAAGTTCATGCAGGGCAATCCACATGCCTCCAGTGTCCCTAAATGTTTGTGATGTAACCCCATCGGGGGACCGTAGGGGAAAGGAACCGCTGTATCAAAAAGCTGCAACAACTCCAGCCTTTCAGAAATAATTGGTGAAAAGGAAGACAGCAGTATAAAACTGAGGCTCAGTGAACATTCATGCTTCACCGTTTGCCAGACAGGAAGCTCCGTGCCATCCTCATGTTCTTTCAACTGCAGAAACATTTAATGATGGCTATTATAGGAATGTGGTATGTGCTACTTTTTTCCCACCTTCCCATCTCCTTAGACAGGAAATGATGCCCTGATCATGGGAAGTTTTTTGTGAAAAAGTAACAGTTCCTACGCCTCTGAAGAAATTTCCCTGAGCCCGCAGCTTCCCAGAGAATACCTTTGTTCTCTGCCATTTAATGGCACTAAAAATCGCCAAGACCGTGAGCAGTGCGCGCTTTTAAAAACATTGAGTTGTATGGACTGACTTTCCCAGGGGAGAAAATAGCAGTGGGCATAATTGATGTTGTCAATTATGCTAATGCAGCAGTGCCAAATGCTCTTTGCAGAGACTGTGGTAGCTGAGTGGAGCGGGTTTTTCCGTAACCACCCCCGCGCGCTCGGTGCGGGGTCCCAGGAAGGCAGCAGCTTTGCAAACAGCCACAAGTCCCAACGCCCAGCTGAGCTTTTCCATATCGAACCATTCAAACCGTCTGTTCCATCAGTGTCTTTGCTCCCTCCTGTTCTTGCAAGCCCATTGATACTTACAAATAAAGCACAAATCTTTTGGTTTGCGAAACCAAAAGAGGACTCTTTCCTTTGGAGTATAAATCTTTGCGTTAAGTTCGTGTTGCCTTGGATTTTAAGGGCTCTTACGCAGGCAAGATTTATGCTAGGACTGGAAATGCCTGACTAATGTCAGAGGCACCCAAAAAGCAATCTCCCCTTTTTCACCAAAGCAAACCTGAGGAGCTGTAGGGGGCCCTTCTCTGACTCTGTCCTGCCTCTCCAGGGTCACCAGTCCACACTTGCCCTGGCTGCCTGTGCAGTATGTTTGATCAAGTTTGTGCAGTATTATTTGGTTTTAGTCAATAAATAAATGGGTGCAACTTTTCCCACAAATCCAATAAAAATGCACTTTATCTTGCCATTTCCGTGACAGGAGATTTTTAAACATTTTAAGTGTAATGTATGTTTTGGAATTCAGTGTCTGAGTCAAAAGTCCTGTAATGACTGTTTTCTTGAATTTCCCTATTATATGCATAAAGAAGGCTGTTTCAGGAGCATTTTTGCATTCAGAGTCCAAGCAATCAAGGAGTTTTCATCTTGTTAGTTCAATTGCTTATTTATTTTTGTTCTTCAATATTTATATTCTCTTCTTAAGATCTGGATATTAGCAATTATACCCGTAATGATTTTATTCTTTCTCATTATCAAATTACAGAGATTTTTTTTTCAAGCCATTTTGAGCACTATAAAGAATAAGTCAGTATGGATGTGCCATATTTCAATGTTATATATTCATGAATATTGTCAGCGAAGACACTGACAAATTTGATAGACCTATTCAATAATATCATCTTCCAGGCCAGACAAACCTCCCCATATGAGCATTGATTAGATCAAGTCTCAGCAGCCAAATGGCAGCAGTGCAGAGAAGCTGATGGAAGGGGGAAGAAGGCATTTTCAGCCCAGATAGTCTCCTTTGGTGAAAAATGTGCATCTGCAAATGGTCAGTTCGAGCCATATTTTTGGGTTCCTTGACAGCAGTAAACTATCCCTTGGCAGCAGCCTCAGGTGGTGCCTTCTGGGGTGTTGGGTAGTCCCAGGACTCTCTCACAGGCAGTGCCGTGGTCCCTCTTGCCGATGCTGTCGCTGTGCCCGGGAAACGCTAACAAGCACAAAATACTGCACGTCTGCTCGTGGCTGCTCTGTTCCCTGCTCTCCCTCCTGGTTTCCCCATGGGATTTCAAATCTACATGACAGCACTGGATCTTTTTCAGACCCCTTTCTGGCACTGGGGCCTTCCTGGCACTACCGGAGGTGCTCGGGCAAGTAATTTTGCAGATGGCTGTGTTGCCCAAGCAAACCCAGTGCTCTACCAAAAAGGGCAAAATCCATCTGTGTCAACACATCATCTTCCCTTGGCTGGGACAGGGCTGTGAGATGAAGGCCATGGGAGCCATCACAGATTCCAAGGATAAAGAAGAGTTTTGGACTCTTCAGCAAGTCTCTTTAAAAGTCCAAGAGTCTTGAACTCCAAAATAAACACAATGTAACATCAACGTTTCAGAAAAGAAAACTATCCTAAAACTTTACCAAAACCCACCACTCTGCATCGTTAACCTTTAATCCCTTTGAACGGGAGAACAAGCCGTGCTTATCAAAGGAACTGTGAAGAGCTGGCCGTGGTGTGCTGACCCCGTACATGTGAGAAGCACTGGGGTGTGCTGCATCCCTTTCTTCACAGCCTGATACAGAGCCCACCGAATTCAGTCACAGCCATCTTCATTGTCTGTAACAGGCCTGGAGAGAGGCCAGGCATCAGAACAGCAGTGCTGAACTTTTATAGTGACTATTTTTTAGGGTTTTTTTTTTTTTCCCCCAGGACTAAAGTATGAGAACTTCCGACTAGATTCCTTCTCTAGATTGTAACATTTTCAAAGTAGGTTACGTTTTGAGTGTAAACCACTTGACAT